TTTGAATGCAATGAAAGTATAGATGTTGTGAAGTGAATTGGTGAGAAAAGCAGACCCAAACACCCCTTTTTATAGTGCCAAAGAAGGCTCCAACGGACCAATGCATTAAAGGGGTGATTGGCTTGATTTATGGGATTGAAAAGATTTGGGATCTGCAGAATATTGGCTTCCCATCGATGTTTAGACTCAACCATCGCTGGTAAGCCAATTTTTCTTCAGTTTTGAAGTCAACGGTCACCTACCCATCGATGGGTACAAGCTTCCCATCGCTGGGTGGGAGGTTGACTTCCAAACAAGGAAAGAATCAACCTTTAATGACCACCAACGGTCAAGCTTTCCCATCGATGGTATACCCTTACCATCGCTGGGTTCCCATCGATGGGATAGGTTTCCCATCGCTGGGTAAGGTCGTTCTGCCTTGTGTTAATATTGCACCAAGGCTTTAACAGCGATGGGTAGAACTCCCTATCGCTGTTTGGCATGGTTCTGGAAGTAGGTTTGGCTTAGGGACCGCTTACCCATCGATGGGAGGATCTTCCCATCACTGGGTGGGTGGTTAGTCAAGAACCCATGGTTTTTGCCTTAACCACGGCCTAGCCAACCGATGCGAAACCCGACCGAAAAATTCAAAGTTATCCAAAATAAAAACCAAGTTTTAAAACACTTATTTTATGTATTTGGATAAGAAATCACGTAAGACACTTTAAAAACCACGTCATTTGAGTGAAAACCACGGCTAGCCAAGTTTATGCCGTTTTGAATGATTTTTGTCAAATGACCAAAAGCGAAAGATGGTTTTCAAGGTGTTTTTGTTGTAGAACCGTTTAAACATGCCAAATAGTGAAAACCAATCATAAAAAGTTGAAAACCACTTGGTTGGTTCGAATGCCAAAAACCATAACCGATAACTGAGGGCCGAACGCCGGTTTCTGAAAACCCGAACGCTGGATGGCTTGGTTTTTGGTTTGGGCGAACACCAAGTGTTTTTAATGACTTAAACATGTTTGAAAAACATTTTTATGATTTAAGAAATGCAATGAAGGATTTTAGCCTAAAGAGCCAAGGTGTAAAGATTGGGTCGGTCTTGATCACAATGAAGACCGACGCAACGACACTAAGACTAAGGTCTTCGTTCTTGGTCTTCTTTTAGCTCTTGTTCTTGTCTTCCTTCTTCGCCTTGTATATTCAAAGTTTGACTTGATCACGGTAGTTTGACATTATCAAAACCTGTCATAAAAACAAACACGACTTTAGTACGAAAACGTGACAAGTCCGTGTTTCAACAATTTCCCCCTTTTTGATAATGGCAAACGAGATGAGGTTTTGCATAGGAGGATAATTTTGAGACTTCTTTAAAAAATATTCCCCCTTAATAGATGCCATTTTATTAAAAAAAATTCCCCCTCAATTTATGCATAACCGAGATATCTTCCCCCTTTTGACATTAACAAAAAGAATTAAAAGTAAACTTTAGATTTGAAAAGTAAACTTTTATTTGTTTAAAAAAGGGAAATGCAGAATACAACGGAATGGAAGTTAAAAAAAATACAATCATAGTAAGGAAGGAAAAGAGAGAAAAGTCTAGGCGGCGGCGTCCTCGTCCTCGGCGTCATTGTCTTCTTCGTCGTCCTCGGCGTCCATGGGATCCCCGTCGACCGCGTCCTCAAAGTCGGCCTCGTCGGGGGAGGAAGACGGAGCATAGGAGTCATCCTCCTCGTCCTCGCCTTCATAGTTCTGGCCGAGGATGGTGCTGTCAAAGGGAGGCGGGACGTAGTTGATGCCGCGGAAGAACGCCATCATGTCATGGTGTTGACGTTGCAACGTCCAATCCATCCGCTCGATTGACTGCCCCATGCCATCCACTGTGAGGGTTAGCCGATTCAGAGTATCGGCTATGGATTGCAACGAGGCCCGGGCGGGAGCGGGGGCAGGGGCAGGGGCACGGGCTGGTGCACGGGCACGACTTCGTCCGGCGCCGTCTTGGGAAGGTCGACACTGGAAAGCGAAGGGGAAAACAAGGCTGCCTTCCCATCGATGGTCAAACACACCCATCGATGGGAGGGTGGCTACTGGAAATTCATTAAAACGTTTTAAAAAACAGTGTCAAACACCCAGCGATGGGAGAAAGTTCCCATCGATGGGTAGGGAGGTTCTGGAAAAGTTTAACAAAAGTCCTTCACCCAGCGATGGGATGAAATACCCATCGATGGGTAAGGTGTTTCTGGAAATCCGTTAAGAATTTAAAAAAAAAGGGTCAATTACCCATCGATGGGAAGAAGCACCCATCGATGGGAAGAGGGGTTCTGAAAAAAAGAAAACTTCCCTCCCAGCGATGGTATGGTCTACCCATCGCTGGTTCTCCCTGATTTCCAGAATTCTTCACTTCGAACCGTCCCTGCAAAAAAGAGTTAGAAAACCCTCTCACCCATCATGGACATCTCAAATTCGCTTGTCATAAACTTGAACCAAAAGGATATTATTGTTTTTACTCTTGATAAAAAGTGTAGTGTCTACCTTTCCCCTTTGGAAACCACTATCCAAAAGAAATTTACTCAACCGTTCGTACCAAGCACGGGGTGCTTGTTTAAGACCGTAGAGCGCTTTCTTGAGTTTGAAGACATGGTCGGGAAACTCAAAGTCTTCAAACCCCGGGGGCTGGTCAACATACACTTCCTCTTGAATAAAGCCATTGAGGAAGACACTCTTAACATCCATTTGATAAAGTTTAAAATCCATAGACGAAGCAAAAGCAAGAAGTAAACGAATAGCTTCTAATCGTGCTACAGGTGCATAAGTTTCTTCGAAATCAATGCCTTCTTCTTGATTGTAGCCTTTAGCTACGAGCCTAGCTTTGTTTCAAGTGATTATTCCATTTTCATCGAGTTTGTTACGGAATACCCATTTCGTACCAATAACCGTACGATCATCGGGTCTTGGCACCAATTCCTAAATGTCATTCCGTTTGAATTGGTTTAGCTCCTCTTGCATAGCCAAGGTCCAATGTTCATCGTTTATTGCTTCGAAAATGGTTGTAGGTTCAATTTGAGAAACAAAAGCCATGTGACCTACGGTGTCCCTAAGAGAGTTACGAGTACTTACCCCGCGGTTGATGCTACCGATTACCTGGCCAAGCGGATGGTTCTTGTTTGTTCTCCATGCAATAGGAAGCTCGGTTGCTTCTTCTTCTTCTTCGTGTTCTGCTTGTTCTTCTTCTTCCTCTTGTCTTTCTTCATCACCTTGGTTAGCTTCTTGAGGTATTTCCTCAGTTTGTGGCTGTGTGTTGGTGTAAATTCCCGTGTTCTCCTCATCGTCATCAACGTGTATTTTCTCTAATGAATCTGCAAGATCATCACAAATATCCTTTCTCGCCAAGCGAGGGTTATCTTCGGAAAATACAATGTGAGGAGACTCCTCGATAGTCAAGGTACGTTTATTGAAGACTCTATAGGCCTTGCTACGTAATGAGTAACCCAGAAAAATTCCTTCATCCGACTTAGCATCAAATTTGCCTAAATTGTCTTTACCATTGTTATGAATAAAACATTTGCAACCAAAGACTCGAAGATGGGAAAGGTTTGGCTTTCTCCCTTTGTATAGTTCATAGGGCGTTTTCATGAGTATCGGTCGAATGACGGCTCGGTTTAACACGTAGCTCGCGGTACTCACGGCATCCGCCCAAAAATACTTAGGGATTTTTGCCTCATTGATCATAGTTCTAGCCATCTCTTCGAGACATCTATTTTTACGTTCCACCACTCCATTTTGTTGTGGTGTACGTGGGGCTGAGAAGTTATGATCAATGCCAAGTTCGTCACACAAATCTGAAAACAGATTTCGTTCGAACTCTCCCCCATGGTCGCTTCTTATGGCTACTATGGTTGTTTCTTTTTCATTTTGAACTTTCTTTAAGAAATTTTTGAAAAC